GGGAGGGGCACTTGTATCTAAAGGGACAGGCCCTATTTCTCCACTGCAGATGGGTTTTGTTTGTTTGGGGTGTTTTGTTTTTAGCCCCAATGGGATGAGTCTGGTTTCTGATTCCTGGATATTAGTGGCACAGTGGAAAAGAATATTTCTAAGGTTGAGTATCTCCAGGGGCTTGATCTGGAGCCTTTTCAAATGGGCAGTTGTGGCTCTCCAGGCCAAAAAGTCTTCCTTGAAGGCCAGCCTCATACTTGTTTTATATCCCCTCAAATATATGCCCCTTAAAATTTTTTTCGTTTTGAAATATAAGATGCATTGATTAAAAGGGCACCATATAAATGCACAATTTAACAAATAGTTATAAAATAATTATTTTAAGGTTAAGAAATGGAATGTTGGCAGTCACCCCAGAGCTCACAGAAAGCTCCTGTGTGACCACCCCAGCTTAACCTGTCCAACTTCACTGTCCTAGTTTTATGGAAAAAAATGTTTTCCTTGCTTTCCTGAAAGGTTCAGTACCCACAGTGCATCTTAAACAATATTACAGTTTAGTTTTGCGTGTTTTTGAACATTATAGAATTGGAGTCATACCCTATGCATCTGGCTTCTTGTGTCTGGCTTCTGTGTGACTTCCATTCATGTAAGTGTGTATCTGTCCTCATCCATTCTCATTGCTGTATAGTATTCCAAAGCACAACACACCACCATTTATTTCTCCACTTTACCATTGGTGGATATCTTAGTCCATTTGGGCAGCTGTAACAAAATACCACTGACCAGGTAGCTTATAAACAACAGCAATGCTCACAGTTCCGGAGTCTGGAAGTCTAGGATCAAGATGCTAGCATGATCACCTTCTAGTCAGAACCTTCTTCCTGATTCTTGGTTGGCACCTTCCCGCTGTGTCCTCACATGGTGGATGGGCAAGAGCCCTCTCTGGGGTCTCTTCTATAAGAGTGCTCATCCCATTCATGAGGGCTCCACCCTCATGACTTAAGCACTTTCCAAAGGCCCTACTTCCAAAGACTATCATGTCAGGCATTAGGATTTCAACATACGAATTTTTTGGGCAGGAGGGACACTAACATTCAGAGCATAGCAGTGGACATTTTAGTTGGCCTGAGTTTGGGGCTGTACATTTTGCTGCTGCGAATGTTCTTAAATGTGTCTCCTGGTGCAGGGGACACGAGTTTCTCTAAGGTCATGCCTAGCAGTGAGATTACAGTGTCAGAGGCTAGGCACACCTGCAGCCTTTTTAGAGCATGCCCACCTCCAAAGCATCTTAAAGCTGAGAAGCACAGACCAAGGATGGAACTCTTGGTCCCCGTTGCTCCTACCCAATCTTGTTCTCCAGTTTTCCAGTCTTAATACAAAGCTACCACCCAACCAATCCCTCCTGATTCCTCCGTTAAACACACACACACACACACACACACACACACACACTCACTGTGGTCCAGGCCGGCCTGCACACTTCTCTCCTGGTAGACTGTCCTCTGTTGCTTCCATCCTGCCCTAACAGCCCCTCCTCCACTCAGCAACCACAGGGACCCTTGTAGTGTGAGAGCAGTCACAACCTTTCACACTTAGGATCTTGTGTGCTGTGGCCCAGAGAGCACATTCAGATGCCTACTGTGACCCACCTGGCCCTGTGCAACCTGACCCCTGCTGACTTCTCCACCTTATTTCACCCTTCCTTCCTCCTGGCTGCTCCTTCCTCGCCCTTCCAGGCTCAGATCAAATGCCACCTCTGCAGAGAAGTCTGCCCAGATCATCCCATCTAAGGTGGCATAGCTCAACCACTCACTTTCTTAATACCTTTCCTCATTTCCTTCAGAGCATCATAAGCCTCTGAAATTGCCTTTTTCATTTCTTTGTTACTCTTTTCTACACCCTGTCAGCTACATACTAGACTATAACTCCATGAGGAGTTATTTTGTTCACTGTTGGGTCCCCAGAAGGGTTTACAGTGCCTGGCACAGAATGGGCACTAGGTATGAGAATGTAATCTGGCACCTAGGAAACAATCTGAAGGCCCACTCATTCTTTGATGGGCAGATCCTAACCTCGAGGTCCCAGGTAGCTTCTTAGATACATATTCAGTTGCCTGGGAGGCAGTCTAAGGGGTAGAGGTTTTTAAGGGGCATGTCCCGCATTGATGGTTTAGAAATGGCCTGTCTGATCCTAGGGAGCTCGTCTGTCCTTGGAGGTGGACCTTGTGTTTAAGGGGCAGTGTTCCAAACAAAATGATAAAAAAGAGAGGGGGCAAGGTTTCATTCAGATGAGAGTGAAACCATCTCTGATTTTAAGAGTCATGCACTATCTGAAGGACCTAACATTTCTCAGAGAGAGGGATGAAGGCTCTGTCTCTATTTAGGGTGCCTGTCTTAAGTCAGGAAGGAAGAAATCCCCACCTCCTAGAGCCAAAGACCAGAAAGAGACGGCAGTGACTGACAGGACAAGGTTTATTGGGGTCCTGGAGACATTGGGGAGTGAGATGAGGGGGTGAGGTCGAGGCTCACAGGGGGGACCCCCTAGCCAACCCCCTCTTCCCCTTGGGGTTGGGAGGAACAGAGACAGACGACCCAACAGAGATGGAGAGAGAGACCGACAGCTGCTATGGCAGAGCGGGAGGGATACCCCAGTGCCCACCACTTTCCACTCAGGTTGAGTTCGCAGAATGGGGAACTACGTGGAAGAGGAGGGGGAGTGTCTGTCCTATTCACTCTAAGGAGGGTGGGATGCAGGCCACCACCTGGGCTAGCCCATTCCAGTGAACAGGGGTGTGTGAATCTGGACCAGTCCATTCTACTGGGCAGGGGGATTCCAAACCAGCCTATTCTAGTGTTTGGGGAGATCATAAGGGTCAATCCATTCCTTAGAAGGGGAGAGGGACCTAACTGGGGAGTGGAGTTGAGTGGGGGGTGTCGACCCTGGTCCTCTTTCTGCAGAGGGAATGAAATGGGGGCGGGGGGGGCAGATTCCGGCTATATCCATTATCTGGGGGCACCAGTGACTGTGGGAGTAGCATTTGGAGGGGATTCAGGAAAATGAGGACATGCCCCCCCTCCCACACACACATTATCCAGATCAAGGTCGTTGGGAATGATGGCTCTCAGGGAGTGGGCAGACTTCCCTTGGGGGAGGCGTGCCCATCTTTTACTAGGTCCCGGAAGGTGAGAAGTACGTCTGAGGACCCGTTTCTCATTCTGACGTCCCCAAGCTTAGGGGCCCATTGATTTGAGGATATCCAGCACGGATTCAGGGGGCCTTCAAGCTCGGGAGTCTCTCCATAGACCCGAGACGCCCAAGCTGAGGGGTCTCTCACTTTATTTGCTGCCCCCCAGCTCAGGGGCCTGTGTGGGTTTCTGGTGGCCCCATCTCTCCAGCCACGATGTCCTCATCGCAGGGCCTGTTTCTGGATTTGGGTGGTCGTTGCTGAAGGGCGCAGGTCAGTCCATGCCCCGGTGCAGCTTCAGGTGCCTGGAGAGGTTGCTCAGCGTGATGAAACCCTTGCCACAGATGTGGCAAGGGAAGGGCCGCTCGGTGCCGTGCAGCAGCCGGTGGCGCTTGAGGTAGCACTCGTGGCGGAAGAATTTGCCACACTCGAGGCACGGGAACGGCTTCTCGCCTGTATGCACCAGCACGTGCCGCTCCAAGTCGCGCGGCGAGCGGAACAGCTTCTCACACTCCGAGCAGCCGAAGATCTTCTTGCCACGGCCCGAGCCAGAGGCAGGCTCCCCAGACGCGGGCTCCCCTTCCGGGGCCGCAGTGGCCGCCTCCGCCCCGCTGCCCTCGCCGTGGCTGGCGCGCCGGTGCTCCTCCAGGGCGGCCAGAGCCCCGTACAGCGCCCCGCAGTGGCCGCAGCCGTAGGTGGCTGGCCCCGAGTGTGCCTCCAGGTGGCTGGCTAGGGCCGCAGCCGATGCGAAGAAGGTCCCGCAGTCGCACTGATACAGGGTGTCTTCTGATGGCTCCGCGGTGGTTGCAGGCGCGGGGGCTTCCCCGCCGCCCTCAGGGAGCAGCCTGCCCAGCTGGGGCACGTCACCTCCAGCGGGGCCCAGGAGAAGCCCTCTGTCCCAGGCCGGCCGGGCGTCACCCGCTTCCAGGGCGCAACCCTCACCAGGGGTCTCCTGCCCTGCACCGGCCCCTGCAGCCCAGACCTTTGCTGGGGGCGCACCTGGGCCCTGTAGATCGTGCGTCAGCTTGTGCCGCTCCAGCAGCGCTGGGGCGTTAAAGTCGCGCTCGCAGCGCGGGCACTTGAAGGGCTTCACGTCGGTGTGCGCGGCCCAGTGGGCCGCCAGCTCACGGCCGTGGTCGAAGCGCCGTGCACAGGCACCGCACGCAAACGGAGGGAGCGATGCCGCCGCAGCAGCTGCCGCCTCCGACAGCCCCCAGCTGCCCGGACCTGAGACCGCCCCCTCCGGGCCCTCTCCGCCGCCAGCCCCGGCTCCCCCACATGCTGAGCAGGGCCCCACATTGCAGCAGACAGAGCAGGGCGCACTCAGGGTGGGCAAGCCAGCACCTGGCTGCATTGGGGATGGGAGCACCCCACGGTGCTGGCGCTTGAGGTGGCGGCCCAGGCTGGAACGTGAGGAGAATCGAAGCTCGCAGACTAGGCAGCAGTAGGGCTTCTCACCAGTGTGAACGACCTGGAGGGAAGGAGAGTACAGCGTCAGGGCTGAAGGTCTGGGCCACCGCACTAGATTCTTGATCTCCAAGAGAGATGCTGCTCAAGCTCCTTGTCATGTCTACAAGGCTACCATTCAGCTTCAATCCTCTCCTCTGTCTCTGCTTTAGACACTGGCATGGTTTTAGTCCCTCCAGGCTCGGGACCTTCACATGTGCTGTCCCCTGAGTCTGGGGAATTCTTCCCCCACTTCTCCTCACTGTTACTCACTGCCAACAAGCTCACTCAGAAGACTGGGACTCCTTGGGAGTGGCTAAGTGCTGAGGCTCTGAGCACGGACAGACCTGGGTTTAAAGCCCAGCTCTACCTTCCACCATGAAAACTGGGACAGGTATCTGAGGCTCTGCTTTTCTGTTCTGCAAAATGGGCACAATAAGATGTGCCACCTCACAGCTTTGTTGTAAGGACAGGGTAGTCATCATGAAATGACTAGTCAATTCCTAGAAACTAGAATTATTGACAAACTTTCCCATGTCTGACTGATGTCCTCTAAATCAGTGGATATTGGTGAGAGATGAGGGAGTGGGGGGTTGAGCAAGAGAGGGGCTTTTGTAATCACCTGGGGTGGGAGGTGGCTCTTCCAGGTACATGCTCTAAAACCTTCTACAGCAGAACTGTCCAATACAGCTTTCTGCAGTGATGGAAATGTTCCATATCTGTACTGTCCAATATGGTTACCACTAGGCACATGTGGCTGCTGAAAACCTGAAATGTGGCTAGGTGGCTAAGTAAGACTGTCTCGCTTACAGAGGTCTCTGCTGATATTGGCCTTTGTGATTTATTTAGGAGTCCTGAGACAGTGTACACAAGTTTTTAGTGTAGAGTCCCACTGATTGGTAGTGTCTGCCTGGAGAGCTGTGAGGAAGACTGTGTGTGAGGCTAGATGAGAAAGAGCACAGTGCTACATTAGTCATGTCTGCCAGGGGCAGGATGGGAAGTAGAAAGTGGGAGTGTTCCTTCAGGAAAATTGCCCAGACTCCATCCTTGACCTGGACCATTCCAGATCTCTCCTGTATCAGCCTCAGAATATGGTTAGCCTCTGTCCCCCCATGCCTCACTTGCAATTTGACATTAACCTGGTTGTTGAACTAATGTCTCTCCTAGTAGACCTGGCTCTGGGAGTACTCTGTTTTGTCTCTCCCCCTTTCTCCCAAAAAGTCTAGCCCTGTGTCTGCATATTATAGGTGACCAATAAATGCTCAGTTGAATTATAACTATTAGTGAGTAGGTGTGAGACCTTAGAGGGCTGTGAATGTCACATCAAGTTAGGGAGCTCCACCATCATCCCAAGGATCAGGGGTTTTGAGTGTGTGTGTGTGTGGAGGGGGAAGGGATCCTGGTCACCATGATGGAAGCAGAGGCTGGATGTGAGGGGGAGAGACAGGAAGTAGGAAATTGGGGCCAACACACATGATGCAAGGTCTTGAACCAAGGCAAATGCTATGGGGATGGAGAGGAGGGGACAAGCATGAAAGACCAGTGATACATCTGGTTTTACTTACCTTTGTAGCGTGAATGTTCGGCTCATAGAATAAAGTCCCCCTCCTCACAATAGCCGAGAGGTGTACATGATTCAGCTTCTGCCTGCCCTCTACCTCACCTCCTGCTCGACCTAGGCTTGCTCTACCCCAACCACATGGTCTCCCATCCCTTCCTTGTACATACCAAACTCCTTCCCACATCAGGGCCTGTGCACTTGCAGTTCCCTCTGCCTGAATGCTGTTCCCATGGCAATGCCTGCTCATACTTCAGGGCTCAGCTAAAATATCACCCTGCCCTGCCCTTCCTCACCTTGTCTGGTAGCCCACAGCTCTCTCCTCTTTACTCCCGCACATCGGCTCCTTGTCGTTTTTAAATTTTCTTCCCAACACCTCTCCCTTTCCAGAATATTCTTGCCTGTGTATTTGCTTTCTTGTTAGTGGTCTCACTGGCTCCTGACCACCTCCAATGGAATTCAATTCTTGGAGCTGACTCTATTGATTTCACTTTGGTGACCACGGTGTTGGGGAGCAGGAAAAGCCCTCAATAGATAATCGCTTAATATATGAATTAAGTACAACGTGGTGAATCTGTATTTAAAAACAGTATGGTAACGGTAAACAAAATTGCAGATGCTGGTGTTGGGACCGGGCCTGTGAGCAGGGGGATGGGAGGGGAGCAGCCTATAGGTGGGGTAAATGTCCTTTGTCTGTTTTCCTTTGTGGATTGAGTGGTGACTGAAAGAGAAACCCCTCATGTTCTGACTGGTCCAGGCACTGTGGCAGGGAGAGAGGAAGAAAAAATTTCCTAAGGGGAGGAGGTGGGTGAGTGGGCCTTGGGCCTGCTGCTTGTTGCCCAGAGTGGGGCGGGGGCTCCAAGGGCGTGTCCAGCCCTGGGAGGCAGCTGGGCCAGCCTGCAGGACTCACCTGGTGGTGCAGCAGGCCGGTGGAGTCTCGGAACCCCTTGGGGCAGGCGGAGCAGCGGTAGGGCCGCTCGCCTGTGTGAGAGCGCAGGTGGTTGGCCAGGTTGAAGCTGTGCTTGAAGCCCTTGCCGCAGCGCGGACACGCATGGGGCTTGAGCGCAGTGTGCCGGGCGAAGTGGCGCCGCAGATCCGAGCGGTAGCGGAAGCTCTTGCCACACTCACTGCAGTGAAACGGGACGCGGGGGGCGGCGGCGGGCGGTGCTGGGGCCTGGGCTGGGGCAGGGACCGGGGGCGCTGACAGCGGGGCATCATCCATGGTGGCGTGGCACGAGGGCAGTGGCGGGTGGGGGCTCTCTAGAGCGGGGAAGACACGAGGGCAGGTGAGGGAGTCACTTCTTCATCAGCCCTCCCCCATGAGGCCCCTGGGACTTAGACCCATCACTTGTCCCCAGGGAGCCCTTACCACTGTCCTATAAGCCATGCCCACCAAGACTACACCCACATTCTTTAATCTCCTCCCACTCTCTGCAAACCTTTCTCCCACTCATCTGCCACCCTTCCTGATCATTCCAAGTCGCTTCTCCCCACTGAGTGTTTTCAGCCTTACCCCATCTTTTAGAAGACTCTTGCTCCTCTAAGCCCTACTTACTACTGTTGAGCCCCGCCCACTCTTGCATGAGTCTCGCCTACTCCTTCCAAAGTCTTTCCACGGTTCCCAGAACCTCTAGTATTCCTTGACAATCCCCTTCCCACTCCCCTCTAAGCTCTTCCCACTCTCCTCTAAGGATGGAATGCCCTGGAACCTCGTATAAAACCAAACCGAAACTTTTTTTACCCGCAAACTACGGATAATAGGAGGACCTACCTCACTGCGTGGCAGTGAGGACTAGGCTGCCTGCTTACTTAGGCCTGCGCACAACAAAGTCTCAAAACGTAAGATGTTTTGATTACTACTGTCTTCTAAGTTCCTCCGAGTGTCCTCTTTAAGTCCCACCATCAAGAAACCACTAAGGACAGCCTCCAAAATCCCTTTCAATTTGTCCTTAATCCCAGCCTTTCCGTAAGCCCCATCCTTTCCGAGACCCCCTCCACTCAGCACCTCCCACTTTCTCAGCCCTTCTGAATCCTGCCCCAGAATCTTACGTCATTTTATCTGCCATTATAAAGACTTGATATTTCCACTCAGACTCCCCAAATTACTAAACTCACTGTGTGCCCAACACTTTAAGCCACACCCCTGAACAAATACCACCCCTTCTGCACTAAGCTCTTGCAACCTTCACACTGAGCCTCATTTTCCCACTTAGCCTCAGTTAGGACCCTTCAACCTAGGGTACTCCAACCATGCTCACCGAGCCACGCCCTTTATTAAGCCCCGCCCCACTGCCCAAGCCTCTCCCACTTCATCCACAGTCCTGCCCCCACCAAGCCCCCGTCCATTTCCAACCTAAGCCACGCCCCCATAGGCTCCTCCCAGTCATTGCTCCGCCCTAGCCGCCACTAAGCCACACCCCTCCCCACCCAGTCGCCTCAGGGACCTGCCCCCCCTCCCCAGTCTGCTCGAGGACCCAGGCCCCGAGAGTCTGCCTTTTGTGCCCCTCCCCCCTGTCTCTAAAAGGTGCGGCCCCGGGCGCCTGGTTCGAGGGCAGGTCAGGCGGGATCCACGGACGGGCGAGTCCACCTCGTTCCTACGGCGCGGGGGTTCTGGAACCCTGAGACCGCCCCGGGAGGCCAGGAAAGTCAGTCGGCTTTCCTCTTTAATTACTTACACCTCCCTCTGGGCGCCGACATTTTGGGCAGCGGGGGCAGCGTCACTTCCACCCGGGGGGCCCCTCGACTTCCGCCTCGGCTCCCTTCTCCCCCGCACTCCCCCTTTCTCCCGCCTTCTTGGCCTCCCTCCCGTCCCAGCCACCCGCCCTTCTCCCTCTTTCTAGTCCCTTTCCCAGCACTGGCAATTAGAGAAGTCAGGTCGGCGCCATCTTGGGTGAGGGCAGGAAGGGGGCGTGGCTTGAGAGTGACCTGGCGCCATCCAGACTAAGGGCAACCCTTCGAGCGCTCATCTCCTCGCCGTGTCGACGCAAGGGCGTGATAGCGCAGATGAGGGCAGATTGGAGTCCATTCTCGCAGCCTTGGGCTCCTCCTGGGTAGGATGTAGAGTTGCCTCAAGAGAAAAGAGAAATGGAAGTTCCGATTGCGATCGATTAGGAGAAAAGAGCTGGCTCCATCTTGTCCTCAGCCCTCCAGAGGACTTTGAAGCTTATCAGGCGCCATGTTAATTACGGGAAGGAGCAGCCATTTTCCCGCTGCTCATCGTATCGGTACCTGTCTTTGATTGGGTCAACAGATGGGTACTTTGTGTGAGGAAAGACATTTCTACGTGGTTGGGGATGTGCGGGTGGGTTATTTCCCGCTCTGTGCCAGCGAAGGTGCCAGGTGCGCAGACGTGGACGTGACCGGCCCTTAGGACCCAGCGCGTCCCTTTGTTCCCCTGGGCGCGGGCCCGACGGCGACGGGGGCGGGGCCGCCGGCGTC